TCTGAGTATTATGTTCATTTGATTCACTTCATGGATTTTATCATGAGTGATCATGAGACGATAATATCTTATATTCTTCAAATCTAGAGATATGAGTTGTTACCTATGAGTTGGTTATACATTGATTGCACGAAAACACATTAGTAACTTGATGTTATAAAACGTGTCTTTGTGTATGATTCAAAAAGTAGTAGAGCAAGCATATGAGTCAAAGTTTATCTATTCCTTTTACCTTTAAAGGGATAAAAGTGATATATGTTGGCCCCTCGATGATTTAGTGATGACACTACGAAGTGATTGGCCAAGCCAAGAGTGATTTGATTTGTTCAATTAGTCGGTCATCATAAATCGGAAATTGGAAAAAAAATGGACATAGAGAATGATTATAATCCATGTCTCAGTCCATATGATATCTAGAATGGAGGAATATATGATCCCTTATCAATGGCAACAACTTTTAAGAGCTACGATTGTCAGTCGGGTTTTGAAATCATACACAATAATAGTTTTAGATTTATCCAAGTGGGAGACTATTAGATTAGTGTCTATGTCCATAACTATATTTGGTATGTGCTTAACCTGATTGGCATGGTCCATTTGGGTTCCATGGCATCATGCATTTGGATGGACTAAAATGAAAGAAATAACGCTTAAGGTTTTTTAATATATTATAAGTTCTAATATACAACAATATTTTCTTCGTTTTTTCTTATTTGTTTTCATAAAATTATAAAATACCACAAATATCAGATAATTGAGCAGGACTGAAGCTACATATATGTAATAATTCTCAATTTGTATGATGGGGCAGGTATAAATTTATTAATCTATGCACTAGTTAAGTGTCCCTAGAAGCATGCTTCTGCATGTAGTCCGAAGCCTCAAAGACTCTATGTTGAAGCCTTAATAAATCGATAACACCTATCGTTTCTTCCCAAGTAGGCTGATTATTTAGATAATTCATCAGCTATCTTACTCTTCTCACGTTAAGTTAACAGTTAACTGCTTGGTTACTTTTGCATAGCATAGGTACACTCTTTTTCTTTAGAACCATCTCTTAATTTTCTCCATCACTTTCGCATTCATGAACATAACCCTTGAGACTGTAAGGAATTACTACTGAGGTTTATTGTTACACAACATCTGTGTTTATGATCTTAAATTCGTTATTACCACCAAGTAAGTGAAACCCAACATCCAACACATGGTTATGAATTAATGGTGAACAATTACATGTTCTAGATTTTCCACAAGGAATTAATGTATGTCCACATTCGCGGTCGGTACCAATAAATCTCTCTTTCTTTTGTGAGATCTTAATGAAATGTTCTATTCCTAAGACATTTCTTCCTAACAGATCCAGTTTTATTTTTCTTGAGATGTTTATATTTATCCTAGTCACTTACAATAATTCCAAAGAATACTTGTTCTTATGACTACACTGGTCAGACAAGTACTACATCCGAACACGCGTACTTATATCAAGTTTCGAACTGTTAGGATAATAATCCTTGAAGGATCGATAAGATTCAAAATAGATTAAAGCAAGAAAACAAGAGTGAATCAAAATATGCTTAATGATTTAAAATTCACAGCCACAGAAGAACCTGATTAACAATTTCTATTGTAGATATGTGATTATTGTTACAAGAATAATAACAAAAGTTACCAAAATATGATCCATGCATGCACCTTAAATACTACAACCCTAAAAATAGAAGACGGATGGATAGGCCCAACCAGTTTACAAAATAAAAAACTAAATGGCCCAATGACGCAACATAATAATATCTACAATCTCCTCCTTTGCGTCAATTGAGTGAGAGTTCATCAAGGCTGAGTTCGCTTCTCTACTTCAAAAACTTTTGGCATTACGCTTACCAGTGCCTTGCAAACCTAAACATACCATTGAATCATTTCTGAGAAGAACTTTTTGTCACTCTTGTTGTTGCCCCTGAATTTTTGACCAGGTCCAAAATAAATTCAAGACTGGAAGTAGTGTATAAATGTTTATCCGGGAGCAAGAAACATGATTTTTGAAATTCTGCATCATTTTGTTCTCTAGCTTGAAATACCACATACCAACCTTCTTTGTAAATTTTATCTAGCTTCAACCTCTCAAATCCTTCTTCATCTTCTTTAAGGACAACAGAGGTCTTCTTTCGCAGCACAACAACTATCTCCACAACCATTTTCCCACCTCTTGAAGAGTAGTTGTTTAACACTGTTATCAGTGGATGGAACATTCTCAACTCTTATAAAAGAGAAAAACTTGAAGGCCTTGGGAGTTATTCGAAGATCCATTTGGGAGTCTTGTGTACTCTGAAGCTCGAATAAAACAAACAGTTCTAGCCAATATTGACTTGGTAAGTCCACAGCTTCATTATAAAGTCATTGTAGCGTCCACACATGAAATAAGAGCTTTCTGCTTTTATGTGTGACCTGAGATTCTTTCACTTCCTTTTCTTTAGCTTCAGCCTCTCTATCACACCCCCAAACTGTCACACCCCCAAACCTGAACAGCGGAAACGTTTGGGGGCGGATGACTTCATGTGGTAACGTAACAAATGAATACATAGTAAAGAAAGCAATACAACCATCATATATATATAATTGAAAGTTTACATTTGTCAAAAGTTACATGTTCAAAACTCAATTACAATATGATGTCAAAATACGAGATTAAACTGGCGCCGCAGCATCCCTTCATCAAAAGCGAAATGCATACCTGAAATTACTGATTTCCTGGGACATACAAGTAATTTTGAAAGAGTAGATCAACATTTAAGCTGGTGAATTTCATAAGTATTTAAATGACAATGTTTAAACGAAATGAAATGTTTTATCTTTGTTTGTATGTGTTTAGAAATACTTAGGAAAAGAATAATTTGTTTATGAAAGCATAAATTTTTGGTGTAGAGTCTAAGATAGAACAGAATAATTTAAGAATAGTTTAGTTTTATACATGTATTACAACAACTTTATGTTTTAAAAGATCGAATGCTATTGTAACATATGTTATATATTTATATATAAAAGTTCCTTTAAAAGTTTATAAATCGAATGTGATTTGAATATGTAACATTATATAAAAGAGTTTCTTTATGTAACACACGATAATACTCGTGTGTTTTACTTGTAATCCCCCCCTTGAAAGCATATAAAAGTATTTAGAATAATTAAAACGGTTGATTAAGGGGTATGAAACTCACTTGAAAGTTTTGGAGATAGCGAGATGGAAAACCGGGCAGAGTTTCGTCTCGGGAAACGGATTTTCCTCGGGATTCTCGGGAATCTCGGGAGTAAAATCGACCTTCGGGACTTGAGCCAAGAAGACCAGAGCTTCGGGTTTGAACGGACACGGAAAACGAGGCAAAGTAGAGAGAGAGAGAGAGAAGAGAAATGAGCCCTTTCCTTGCAAACCCTCGTATGCTATTTATAGGGAGGCTGGTCTGCCTCGGTACGCGGGACGTCGTACGCAGCGCGTACGCGTACGTCATGCGTGACCGCGGCCTCGACTGCCGCGGCTTCGGATGGGATGGGTCGCTGAGTACGCGGGTCGGATGGGACGGGTCGCTGGGTACGCGGGTCGGATGGTGCGACGTGGACGATCAGAGGCCGCTTCTCTCGGTTACGCGGGGCGTACAGGAGTACGCGGCGCGTACCTCGGATGAGGGCGCTGACTCCTCTTCGGATAATATCCGAATTTTGATTAAAATAAATAATTAATTTATTTAATAACTTCAAAAATTCATATCTTCTTCATACGAACTCCGTTTTCGATGGTCTTTATATCCTCGCGTAGGTGAGACTACGCTCTACAACTTTCGTTTAGACTCCGTCGGCAAATTCCAAAATTATTTTTATTATTGTTTTTATTATTTAATAACAATCCATCGTGTTTAAGGGAATTTCTTTGAAAGTTCATAACTTCGCTATATGAAGTCGGATTTGGGCGATCTTTTTACGTACGATCATGGTTCAAAGACATTAAATCATAGAAAGAAATTAAGTAGAACTTATTTATACATTTTATTACGCATAAGTGGTTACAATACTTGACCCATTTTGGTCGTTACAAAGAGTTGAAGTATCGGGTTGTCACATCATCCCCCCGTTAGAGAGAATTTCGTCCCGAAATTTAAAGTAGTAAAGATACTAGTGAACATGAAAGAGATGAGGGTACTTTTGTTTCATCTGATCTTCGCGTTCCCACGTGAATTCGGGTCCCCGCTTGGCGTTCCAGCGAACCTTCACGATGGGTATGCGACTTTGTTTTGTTTGTTTGACCTCTCGGTCCATGATTTCTACTGGTTCTTCCACAAAGTTGAGGCTCTCGTTGATCTCGATTTCGTCGAGTGGGATAACAAGAGTCTCGTCGGACAGACACTTTTTCAAGTTTGAGACGTGGAAGGTTGGATGGATGTTACTAAGTTCGCGCGGTAGGTTAAGCTTGTAAGCCACAGGGCCGATTCTGGCAAGAATCTCGAAAGGCCCTATGTATCTTGGATTTAGTTTCCCACGCTTTCCAAATCGTATTAAACCCTTCCACGGTGAGACCTTTAATAAGACGTGGTCTCCTACCTGGAATTCCAAAGGTTTCCTCCTTTGGTCAGCGTAGCTTTTCTGTCGGTCTCTTGAGGCTTTCAATCGTTCACGAATCTGAACGATCTTCTCTGTTGTTTCACGTATGATCTCCGGACCGGTGAGAGTGCTTTCAGGAACTCTTCTTCCAGCTAACTGGGTATCGCCCACTTCAGTCCAGCACAGAGGGGATCTGCACTTTCGACCATAGAGGGCTTCAAACGGAGCAGCCTTTATGCTTGTATGATAACTATTGTTGTATGAAAATTCGACAAGGGGTAAATGAATATCCCATGCCTTTCCAAAATCAATCACGCAGGCTCTCAGCATGTCTTCTAAAGTTTGTATCGTTCTCTCACTTTGTCCGTCTGTCTGTGGGTGGTAGGCTGTACTCATGTCCAGCCTAGTTCCCAGGGAACTTTGTAGTGACTGCCAGAACCTTGAAGTGAATCTACTATCTCGATCGGAGATAATGGATATCGGAACACCATGCAGTCGCACTACTTCCCTTAAGTAAGTTCTTGTAAGCTTCTCCATTTTGTCAGTCTCCTTGATGGGTAGGAAATGCGCGGATTTGGTCAGTCTGTCGACAATGACCCATATGGTATCGAGTCCACTTGTCGTCTTGGGTAATTTGGTTATGAAGTCCATAGTAATCCGCTCCCATTTCCATTCCGGTATCTCTGGCTGTTGTAGTAGTCCTGACGGTTTCTGATACTCGACCTTAACCTTAGCGCAAGTAAGACATTTACTCACGAAGGTAGCAATTTCTGCTTTCATGTTAGGCCACCAGTACAGTTTCTTAAGATCCAGATACATTTTATCTGAACCCGGGTGAACGGAATATCTTGAGTTGTGAGCTTCAGTCATGACTATGTTTCTGAAACCACCATGTTTTGGGGTCCAGATTCGGTCCATGAGATAGTAGGCTCCGCCACCCTTGACTTCTAAATTCTTCTCCATTCCTCGCAGGGATTCACCCGCCACATTTTCGGGTTGCAAAGCTTCCATTTGTGCTTCCTTAATTTGTGTGGATAAGTGGGAATGGATAGTCATGGTCAGAGATTTGACCCTCCGACCAGTGTATTCCTTTCGACTGAGGGCGTCGGCTACTACGTTGGCCTTTCCAGGATGATATCGAATCTCACATTCGTAGTCATTCAGTAACTCGACCCATCGTCGTTGTCGCATGTTGAGTTCCTTCTGATCGAAAATGTGTTGAAGGCTCTTGTGATCGGTGAAGATGGTACTCTTTGTTCCGTATAAGTAGTGCCTCCAGATCTTCAGAGCAAATACCACAGCTCCTAATTCGAGATCGTGTGTCGTATAGTTCACTTCGTGTGTCTTAAGCTGTCGGGAGGCATAAGCGATAACCTTCCCCCTCTGCATAAGAACACAACCTAGTCCTTGATTTGAAGCATCGCAATACACAACGAAGTCTTCTATCCCTTCGGGGAGGGATAGTATCGGTGCGGTGCACAAGGCCTGCTTTAGTGTCTGGAATGCCTTCTCTTGTTTCGCTTCCCAGTCAAAGGCCACACCTTTCTGGGTTAATGAAGTAAGAGGTTTCGCAATGCTCGAAAAGTTCTTTATGAATCTGCGATAGTAGCCAGCTAGACCTAGAAATTGACGAATTTCAGTAGGTGTCTTTGGTGCCGACCAGTTCTCAATAGCCTTAATTTTGGAGGGGTCAACGTGTATTCCCTTTTCGCTAACAACGTGACCTAAAAATTCGACTCTTCGAATCCAAAATTCGCATTTAGAGAACTTCGCATAGAGTTTCTCCTTTCGCAGTGTTTCTAGGACTTTTCGTAGGTGTTGACTATGCTCTTCCTCACTTCGAGAGTAGATAAGTATATCATCGATAAAAACGATGACGAACTGATCCAAGTAAGGGCGGCATACCCTATTCATTAGGTCCATAAATACTGCTGGTGCATTGGTTAATCCGAACGGCATCACCACGAATTCATAGTGTCCATAACGAGTTCGGAAAGCTGTCTTTGGAATGTCCCCCTCTAGAACTCGTAATTGGTGATATCCCGATCGCAGGTCTATTTTTGAGAAGTAGTTCGCCCCTTGAAGTTGATCGAATAGGTCGTCGATACGGGGTAGAGGATAGCGGTTTTTGACAGTAAGTTTGTTCAGCTCTCTGTAGTCGATGCACATACGGAACGATCCGTCTTTCTTCTTTACAAACAAGACCGGTGCTCCCCAAGGTGAGAAACTTGGTCTTATGAATCCTTTGCGAAGGAGTTCATTAAGTTGACTGGAAAGTTCCTGCATCTCTGCTGGTGCAAGACGATAAGGCGACTTCGCTACTGGGGTAGCTCCTGGAATTAAGTCGATTCTGAACTCGACTTGGCGTTGCGGTGGTAATCCTGGTAGTTCTTCTGGAAAGATATCGGGAAAGTCGCGTACTACCGAGATGCTCTTGATGTCCTTCAGTTCTTGACTTGTATCGACGATGTGCGCTAGGAATGCCCGACAATCCTTCCGTAAGCACTTTCGAGCTTGGATGCACGAAATGATGCGAAGGTTTGTACTAGATTTGTCGCCGTAGATAACTAATGTTTCGTTGTTCGGGAGGTTAAGACGGACTGCTTTCTCAAAGCACATGATGTCAGCGCGAAGGAGACTCAACCAATCCATGCCGACTATG